CAAAAACTCAAAGCCCCTCCGCAGGGCGAAAGGCTGGGCAGAAATCAAATTAAATGAATGAATGGAATGGAATAAAAGTTGCTCCTTTCCTTTTGCAGATATCCAATTTAATTCCAAATGGAACTGATCTTAAAACATTAGGTCTCAGCACTGGCAACAAACGAACCTCATTAGCACTCTGGAACTGAACCTGAGATTGGTCTTTTTGAATGGCAACATGGGATGACGCTAAATCCCCGCCCCCATACAAATTTGAACAACATGCTTTTGAATTTGAATGAGCCTCTCTACAGCTCTGAAGCATCAGCAAAGACAAGCAGGCTCATAGTCACAGTGGAGGCAGCTGGGACATTGATATGCAAAACAGGTGCAACAGCACAAAAACTCTGCCTGTCCACCACTGCCGCCAAGGGGGAGCAGAGCAGGGGAGTGAGGATCAATCTGACAGTGTGTACAAACACATGTTCAATCTTGACTCTTCTAAACATGTTTTTAAAAGTGATTTGGGGCAGTTTGCTCAGAACCAGGGAAAAATGAATTATATATTCCCACAAACCCCCAGCCACCTTGGTCAGTGTTCCTGTTGCAAACCCCTGCATCAAGAAATCACCTCCTCCCCTTTTCTGACCCATTATCTGCATTTAACACAAGTGTAGTGGTGCCTCCCTAGACGATTGCTCGTGGGACAAAAAACCCGCAAGATGATTGGTTTTTGCAATCACTATAGTGCCTCACAAGACGTTTTATTCTATGCCCGTGCTTCGCAAGACTTTTTTTTTAGACTGATGCTTCGCAAGACTTTTTTTTTAGACCGATGCATAGGAAACTTCGCAAGACGATTTTTTCACAAGATGACGATTTTTGCAAAACGAATTAAAATCTTTTTGCGAGGCACCACTGTGTTTTAATTCCACCAGGCAGATAAGCAGTGAGATCTTAAAAGGAAGTAGCAGTTTGCTCAGGGGAAAGGGGGAAAAAACCCAGACACCCTTAAAATAAAACACACACACTACATGGATCTTTCCAATATCTCCCTTTTGCTTTTTGCACAACTAGGATAACATCAAATATAGCTGTGCAAGGGCAGGATCCCTTATGGCAAGTAGGGGTGTATCTTTCAATACCTTACGACGAGACTTGATTTACTGTTTAGTCCCTTCAACTACTAGGCAAAGCGATCCAACTTGGCTTTCTAGTCCTGTTCCTGTCTAGCGCTCCACCTACAATTCGATGAGCTGTACTGTATTTCCATAAAAACAATAGATGCATACAAATGAGCTCTACAAATACTTCAGCATACTACAGGCAGAGAAAACAAAGCGAGCATTCCTCCAAACATTGTTAAGAGACGGAGAAATTCTTCCAACAGTTTATCAAAGATCTGCCTTTGAAATGACTTCTGTGTTTGCACTTCACCTGCGAGTACAAAGAACAACAACACTGCTTGTAAGCTGTGCAGCATTTCAGTTCCTCCACAATGCTTGCTGCCAAGTGTCATTCTAGGCCCTAAAAATCAGAGGGGTGGTCCAACAATGGGCACGTACTGAACTTCTGAATGTTTCTCACTCCTGTTCCAGGGCCCTAACCAGGGAGACGATCAAGAAAAGAAAAAACTCTGGAAAGTAGCCTATTTCTAGAGCTAGCTGGATAGCTCAGTGGTTTAGGCCAGGGACTGGCTGTGGAGCAAGAGGTTGGATGTTCTATTCCCGGCCGTGCCTCCTGTCTGTAGAGCCAGCCTGCAATCTCAGGGCACACACACATACACACACACAAGGTGAACAAAGCGGTAAACCACTTCTGAGCATTCTCTAGCTTGAAAGCCCTGTAAAGGGCCACCATAAGTTGGAATCAACTTGACAGCACACCATACCAAAGAAAAAAGAAAAAATCTCAGAGTACTGTATTTATCAGGAAAACAATTAGCTCATCACATGTCATTCTTCAGAGTTCTGCATCATCCCCAAGTGATGCTGGAGGAGACTCTTGAGAGTCCCTTGGAATGCAAAGAGAACAAACCTATCTAGTTTGAAGGAAACCAACCCTGAGTGCTGACTGGAAGGACAGATCCTGAAGCTGAGGCTCCAATACTTTGGCCATCTCATGAGAAGAGAAGACTCCCTGGAAAAGACCCTGGTGTTGGGAAAGTGTGAAGGCAAAAGGAGAAGGGGACGACAGAGGATGAGATGGTTGGAGTGTCATCGAAGCAACCAACATGAATTTGATCCAACTCCGGGACGCAGTAGAAGACAGGAGGGCCTGCCGTACTTTGGTCCATGGCGTCACAAAGCATCAGACACGACTTAATGACTAAACAACAACAAATCATCCCCAAGACCTCCCAAATGTTATGTTTTGAAGAATTCCCTGTACAGTATATCCATTTTGTCTTTACCATGGATGCTCATGATACATGATACAGTTCCTTCTCTGTAAGCCCTTAGTAAGTGTAAGGGTGTGTAGTGTTATGTTCAATTCAAAGGGGGGGGGGGATGAAGCTAGGGCTATGTCATAATTGCTCCTCCAGCTTCCTGGAAATTATATTGTTCCGTAAAAGAAGCTTCCCATTTACTGGCTCATTCTCAGGGGCCTTTGGAATTCATTTAAGTGACTTTTTAAAGTTTACAGCGACTCCGCAAGGTGGAGAAGATGCAGCACTTAGTGCTTCTTCGTCATCGCTGTCGTCACTCTGCAGAGTCTCTGACTGCAAACATTTCCATACCTGAAAAGGCCCTGCAAGATACCTTATCATATCTTCCCCTTCGCTTTTTCTTAACTGTGGGAAGATGGGGAGACTGTCAGATTCCATGGAGATGACTGTACAGTGAAAGCCAGAACACAGAAAAGGTTAAGAACAAAAATCATGACCCCCCCACGCACAAAAAATTCCTCCAATATTTCTGGGTCTATGAAATTATTTATGAAAGGCTTCTTTAGGTCGATACTAGAGATGGGCACAAACTGCCGGTTCGGCGGTTCATGGTTTGTTTACGGCTCCAACTGGTGCTTGGTGGCTAGATGCCCTCTGGGGGGGCACCCCCTTGGAAGCAGTGTCCCAGCTCCTCTGGGCGCTGCTTCTGACTGAGCAACCCTCAGAGGAGGGTGGGGAACACCTGCTGCGGCAGTAAACGAACCAGCACGAACCTTTGAACCAGCAGTTTGTGCCCATCCCTAGTCATTACCAAATGTAATAGTTATGTTGTTACCTGCTGTTATTTTCCTTCACAACTACCAGACCCATCTTTTCAGGACAGGGCTTAAAGATAAAATCTGCCATTCCCTACATTACCACCTGTTGTTCCTCTGTTGTTTCTTTTAATCGCTGTTGCTCTTTACAGAACTTCAAGCTTCAAAAGAACTGAATACCAAGCAGGGGTCATAAACCATTCGTAAGTGGTGTGGGATGCAACCCAATCACCACAGTTTCTTAGTGAATATTTCACCATGTAGTCTCTGTATTCTTACTCATATGTCTGAAGTGGACCATGTTCCACAAAAACTTACATTAAAATATAGCAGCTGGTCTTTAAAGTGTCACAACATATTTTGTTTCTGTTTTGTATTTCTTGTTGAAATTTCTGAAAGGCATTTTTCTACCCAATTGAATGGGAGCCATCATAATCCTCACTAATAAGAAAGACCCGATTTCTCTTTCTGCTTTCCATGTACAGTATTGAGGAACTAATGTGAAGATCTCCCCAAGGATGGTGTCTTGTTTCATCTCCTCTTTTTACAGAGTTTTAAGCTACTCAATAGTTAACACTGTATTCTGAAATCTTTTGTCTGCCTATTAAATGCATCTCCATCATATGGATGCTGAAACTTTCTAATGAGCTGATCTGACTACCTCTTGGTTTTTAGATATAGGTAAGTGTGTTAGACCTTAAGGTACCACAAAGTTCTTCCGAGAAGGGGAGCTATATTAATCTGTCAGAACAAAAACAAGGAGTCTAGTGGCCTTAAAGACCACCATTTATTGTGGAACAATTTGCGTTTGTGTGTATTAGAATCCAGAACAGTGTGCTATAACTGATCTGTTACTCTTTGAAAATGCACAAAGCCATAGCTCTGTTACAACTAATTGTTCTAATTTTCTTTAGTAATGCTTGTTAGTATACGATTGCATTATAATTGCACCAAAATAATTAACAGCCTGTTATCAGCAAGGTGCTTCTAGGATGACACTCCACTCTGCTTACCCAGAATTTTTAATAATTAATATGTACGTAATGAATTGCCCAGGAAAGAAAATAAATAACTATGCGTTCCACAGTTCTGAACCACTAGCATTCACATTAGAAAACACAGGCAAGATGGAAGTGGGGACCTCATGCACTCTAATCCTGTGCGAGTTCATTCAAAAATAATTCTCAACAAGATGAGTGACACTTACTTCCAAACCTCCAGGTAAATGTGCCCAAGACTCTAGTCTCAACCCACCTTTTTGCACACAAGCTGTTCCCCTACATACTTAACTCAAAAATAAGTTCCACTGAGTTCAACCGCACTTACTTCTCATAAAAGGTGCACACAGGGCTGTACTTAATTGAAGTTTATTTTCTCTTTTAAACTAGCACACCGATTGAACTGGATTTCTGCATCCGAGGCTACAATCATACCGAGTAAGCAGGATTTCCTTCCCAGGAAAAAATGTTTGGACTGTGGTGTGAAAGCTGCACGCCTCCATGTGAGTAAGCGCGTTTGCACATAGCGGATCTTCCCAGGTAAGGTGCACAGGATTGCACCGTTACTCCAGAGTATGCCTCACTTAGCAGGGCAGTGCCCGGTAAACCCGCACAGGGTTGCCCCAACTCGATCCGCATATGCTTTCCGGTGCAGAGTTAAAATGGGAACCCAGCTCCGCAAAAGCGACACGCCTCCCGAGCAGCCCCCCCCCCCACTACACACACCCCGAGGCTCCGCGGTGCCACCTTGCGAACTACACCGGATCGAAGCCACGGCGCCGGCGCCGCCGCCTTCCCCGCGCGCGGCCCCACTCCTACCTCCTGGTAAGAGGACGAAGCCTCCTGTCTGATCATGGCACCGGCGGCAGCCACCAAAGAAGCGGGCGCGGGCCGGGGCGAGGACTGGGAAGCAGCGACAAACCCAAGAGCCGCTCAAGGCGCAAAAGCGCGCCGCAGCCTCCGTCCCGGCCACATACATGATCCGGCCGGGAGGCGAGCACGGCGCAGGCGCGAGGGCAGGCAACCCCTCCGGCTCCTCCATAAGCCGCTCGCTCGCCCCGTTTGCTTGCACTACTGGGGGGGAGGGGGGCTTACGAGCGGCCGCCGGCATAGGCTGCCGAAAGCAGAGCCGGAGAGAATGGGATGCTGGGAAATGCAGTTTATTTTCCGACGCACTTTGCTTGGCCTGGAGGCTACTGGAGAGTCCCTGTGTTTACTTATAATGTCTGTTTATTATCAAAATAATTTTATCACCATACATGAAAAGACCTAGAGTGGATTGCAGTCAATATGACCATTTAAAGCTGTCGTTCATTTAGTCGTGTCCGACTCTTCGTGACACCATGGACCAGAGCACACCAGGCCCTCCTATCTTCCACTGCCTCCTGGAGTTGGGTCAAATTCATGTTGGTTGGTTCGCAGACACTGTCCAGCCATCTCATCCTCGGTCGTCCCCTTCTCCTCTTGCCGTCACACTTTCCCAACATCAGGGTCTTTTCCAGGGAGTCTTCTCTTCTCATGAGATGGCCAAAGTATTGGAGCCTCAGGTTCAGGATATGTCCTTTCACTGAGAACTCAGGGTTGATTTCCTTTAGAATTGATAGGTTTGTTCTCCTTGCAGTCCAAGGGATTCTCAAGAGCCTCCTCCATCACCACAATTCAAAGGCATCAATTCTTCGGCGGTCTGCTTTCTTTATGGTCCAGCTCTCACTTCCATACGTCACGACAGGAAAAACCATAGCTTTGACTATTCAGACTTTTGTTGGCAAGGTGATATCTCTGCTTTTTAAGATGCTGTCAAGGTTTGTCATCGCTTTCCTCCCAAGAAGCAGGCGTCTTTTAATTTCGTGGCTGCTGTCTCCCTCTGCAGTGATTATGGAGCCCAAGAAGGTAAAATCTGTCACATTTAAAGCTATACAGTAGTTTTAAAACAATTTAAAATAACTTAAAACAGGTTCTCTGTGTTAGGTGTCCTTCAGTTGCTTCCAACTTATGACTGCATTTTGACTTAATAACCTCCAACAGGTCCAATTATTAACAGTTCTGCGAAAGTTTTGCAAAACTGAGGCTGTGGCTTCCTTTATTGAGGCAATCTATCTCATTTTAGGCCTTTCTCTTCAGGCAAGCTTTCCCTCAGTGTCTGGCTGCCTGAGCAGGGTTTTTAAATGGATTTTCTTAATGCTTTGAAGGTGCTTTTAATACTGTATTGCTTTTGTTTCCTATTTCTTAGAATGGCATTTGTTTGATTCTTTTTAGCATTTGTACACTTAGCTTTGAATATTGTCTTTTAATAACGTCAGCCACCATTGTATACTCATTGCTTTTAGTTTTAAATATTGTCTTGTGAGCCTTTTTAAGGAGGTGGCGGAAAAATATTTTCAATAAATAAGTCTTCTCTTCTCCTGATACACACAAAATAGACAGTTTAGTAATTTTAACTTCCAGGGAGAGTTTGGACTTGATTTGACCTAGAATCCACTTCTCTTTTTGTCAGTCCATGGTATTTGAAAAACTGTCTTCCGACATCACAGTTCAAGAGAATTCCATTTTCCTGTCAATTTTCTTCATTCTACAGTATACCTTTCCTGTCCCAAGCCACTGAAAGCCATTTAAACAATTTAACACAGTGTATCTCAATGTCACAATTTAAGCCATAATCCCAGGCCACTAAAGGGCTTGTTCAGAGCTTGGTGCCAAAATTAGGCCAATATGGATGCCTGCCAGGCCTTGAATTGCCTTCCACAGGAGGGGTGCCGCAGCAGAAAACTGTTTAAGGGGCTTTTAGGTGTAAGTGTGAAAGTCCACTGGTGCTAAAAGGGCAATTTAACACAATGTGCACTGTATGTCACAAACGTTGTACAGTAGTACCTCGCTAGACAGTTACCCCGCATGACAGTTTTTCGCTAGACGTTGGCTTTTTGCGATCGCTATAGCGATTCGCAAAACAGTGATTCCTATGGGGGAATTTCGCTGGACAATTGATTTTCTCTAGACGATTTTGACAGCTCCCTCTGTGCACGCAAACAGGTGTTTACGGGACCTAAGCTTCGCAAGGCAGTGATTTAAACAGCTGATTGGCGGTTCGCAAAGCAACTTTCCTATGGCTGATCTTCGCTAGACAACGACGATTCTTCCCCATTGGAACGCATTAAACAAGTTTCAATGCATTCCAATGGGGAAATGCTTTTCGCTAGACAATGATTTCGCTAAACAGAGATTTCAGTGGAATGGATTATCATCGTCTAGCAAGGCACCACAGTAAATCCTATGAAACCAAGTTTAGGCTGAATATCAGGAAAAACTCCTTAACTGTTGGAGCAGTACAACAATGGAACCCATTACCTCGGGAGGTGGTGAGCATTCAAGAGAAATTTAGACAACCACCTGTCAGATCTGCTTACTGGAAGCTGCCTAGAGTGGTCGTATAGACCAGATGCGCGGGATACAAATCAAATCAAATCAATCAATCAATAAGTATTCCTGTGTAGGGAGGAGGGAGGTGTGGGCTGGATGGCCTTATGGGCCCCTTCCAACGCAATTATTCTGGGATCAATCTCGCCACAAAACGAATGCGATTTGACGACACCTAAGGCAAACTACAAAGAAAGGTATCTCGGGGCGAAGGCAAAGAGCGGGGCCAGCAGCTCGTTTTTAGAAATTCAGTCCTGAACGGAGGTAAGGAAACGTCACAAAGAAGGGCCCGCCCTGGCAATTAATAGGGTGGAAAGGAGGGACCGGGAAAGACCGCGCCCGCTCGCGGGGTTGTCCGGGAGAGAGAGCGCTGGTCGCGCCCAAGCGAGGCTCCCTCTTCCCGGCCCCACAGGAACTGGCGGCCTCCTTCCTCCGCGCTTCAGGAAAGCCATGGCCGAGCGCTTCGGCGTGGCGCTTGCCTTGCTAACGTGGATCCTGCTCGGCTGCCAGGAGGAGGCGAGGGCAGAGCAGGAGCTCCGCTTCAAGCCGGCGCCCCGGGACAGACCCGTGCGCCTCTTCACCGAGGCCGAGCTGGCCAGATACGACGGGCGGGAGGTGAGGAGCGCCCCCTGGCGGGATAGGCGGGGGTGGCGGCCTTGGCCGGACGGGAGAGGAAAGCGGGGCGGGAGGTTCCTCGGGGCTTTGTGAAGTATTGTGGCACCTTGAAGAAATTCGTTTCCGTGTGAGTTTTCCTGGACGGAGGATGTGGGTTGCGATCCAGGAAAGGTTACGCCGGAATACATCTGCACTTTTTTGAACAGACGCCACAAGGGCCCCACGTCCTTTTGGTGGTAAAATGTTTGTTTAAGTGGATCAGCTTAGCTTGTAGGGAGGGAGCAGCGCCGGAGCCTCTCCGGATTATTTCGCAGCGTTTGCTTCTTTCCTTTTGGAGAGACTGGGAAAAGCCTGTCTGGAGAGTCCTGGAAGTTGGGAGTCAAAACAAAGGAGGGGCTTCTCCCAGGTTTGCTTTGTTTTCGTAGTTCGGCTGCTCGCAGTTTTTTTCCCCCTGCCAGAATAACTCTCCAATTAAAACGAGACGTTAACGAACACAAAAAGTGGAAGTAAAGACAAAACAGTCTGGAACTTTGAAAGACGTCGTCAGAGATTCAAACAAAACGTGTGTTACTCTTTTTTTTTGCACAAAGCTGCGCTTGAGTGGGCTTTGACTGCCTTGACCTTTTGTTTCTCTAGCTGCAAGAATTTTAGGAGGTGTGCAGATTGCAAGTAAGGATTAAAGTATGTGGAGGAGTTATTAAAGTACAAAAATGTAACTTTGGATCCTGTGCAGCTTCCGTTTGTGCAAGGCAGGAATATCATGGGATATTTGTCTTAGAACAGGTATTTGTCCATCAGGGTCACACCTACTGTGAGCATTTTTTTTAAATTTAGAAGCTCCCCCCCCAGTGGAGCTCTTGTGAATTATATTGTCAATCTAGGAGGTGCCCACTCAATTTCTGCAGTGCAGTGCTTGTAAATGTTACTTGCTAGACTGCAACTCCCAGCATCCCTAAGAGCTATAGTCTACAAACCAAACATTTGCGTTTTCTAGCCTGGCGCATGGGTAGGAAATCTTTAGCTTTCAAGATGGTGATGAACGTCTGAAGGGACCATGGCACTATCTGGAACACGCAAGAAGAACACACCTCTAATCAGATCACACAGAATACAGTTTGGAAATATGAAACACAGCCAGATTTATACATATATGTACATGTTTCTTTTTCCCTCAAAGAATTTCTGTAAAGCAATAAGGCTGGCCAGGTTTTCCTTCACCAGGGCAGGTTATCTTGCCTTCCAATCTAGATTGGAGGAGCAAAACAGACACAGCAGGGGTTATTAATTCCACCAACAGACACAGATGGGCTTTTGTCTCTCTTCCCCTAGACAAATACAACCAATCCTATGGAAATTGAACTCCCGGCACCTGGACAGTACTTACTGCACAATACCTTTTGGTATAAAAACATTATTTCCTATCACTTTGGAAGTCTCCAACCTTGTAACCTCTTTGCAAGATAGTTAAGTGTTTTCCTGTCAATACAGGATACTACAATGTAACCATGTATTTCCACAATTCCTGTCTGTTGACCAACCCTGTTGTAACATTCCATCCTTCCTGTGATTCCCACTCAGATAAAGTTTTGGATTCCTTTGTAACCCCATAGGTTCTGCCAATAGGTCATGAACCACCTGTTTCTCTATTTATCCTCCCACTTCTTTGTACCCTTGTGTAACCAATGTTATAAAAATCCTTGTCTTCCTCTGCATGGCATGGTTGTTCCTGTCTACCCTTGGAGACATGATTTCCATCACACCTTTTATCTAGCTAAATAAAAGAGCAATCATTTGAACTCTCGAGTCAAGATTTTATTGGCAATTGGTTTTGACTTGGAAAGTCTAGGGGCTAGCCCGGACTGAACACGTCTACTCCCATCTTACCTCACCCTTGGTCAGGTTGGCTAGGATTGATAGCTATTAATGAATAGTTATGCACTATTAAGTCAATTCCAACTTAGGGTGACATTCCCCAAGAAATTTCCAAGTACAAATGTACTTAGAGGTGATTTGCTAGTCCTTTAGGTGGTGCTCTGGAATGATGCAGCTTGCCCAGGGCCACACGGATGGCAGGGCTCATAACCCACCAGCTGTATATTCTGTGGGGGATCTTCATTGGTGGTTTTCCAAGGAGGCCTGGTGGAGATACAAACTCCTAGCTCCTGCTTCTGCTGCCAGACACTAACCCAGTGAGCTATACCAACCTTAATAGAATGAAAATGCCACAACAGCTGGAGACTTTCATAGATGCAGCCCTCTTATAGATGGTATAACCGTCTCATAGCCTTGTTATAGATGCTAGGGAGCTTAATCATAATCCCACATATAATTTTGAAGGACAACTTGCCAAGTACATAGTATCCTTGTTTGGTTATGTACATCAGGGTATCATAATGAGAGGTCATTTGTCTTTCTGTAGAAACATGTCTATCACAACTGACCCTTGAGGAATCCTTTAGCCCTTGTGGATGAAACCAGTGCCATGGATCCATTTCAGTCTGGCTTTAGGCCGCGCCACGGTATGGAAACGGCACTGGTCACCCTGTTTGATGACCTCCTGAGGGAGGCCAACAGGGGCAAAATGTCTCTGTTGGTCTTTCTCGATATCTCAGCCGCCTTCAATATATCGACCAGCAAAATGTCTCTGTTGGTCTTTCTCGATTATTTCAGCCGCCTTCAATATATCGACCACGGTATTCTCCTGGGGAGGCTCTCCCAGCTGGAAATAGGTGGTCTGGCATTAGCCTGGTTTCTTGGATGACCGTCCCGAGAGAGTACAGCTTGGGTGCCGTGTATTGGCTCTGTGGAATCTCAGTTGTGGGGTTCCGCATGGCTCAATTATCTCCCCAATGCTGTTTAATACCTACATGAGGCTGCTGGGTCAGGTCATCAGGGGGTGTGTGGCTTTTAGGCTGCTGGGTCAGGTCATCAGGGGGTGTGCGGTGTTCTGATGACACCCAGCTCTGCATCTCCTTTTTTCCTACAACAGTAGATGCTGTTGCATCCATCTCCTTTTTTTCCTACAACAGTGGATGCTGTTGCATCTCTTCAGCGCTGTCTGGAGACTGTATTGAAATGGATGCAGGCAAATGGTCTGAGGCTAAACCCAGACAAGACGAAGGTCTTGAGGGTGGGTGGCCCAGACGTTGATGGTTTGGGAAACTCACTCACTTTTGGGGTGTGTGTGTGACTCTCACGACGAAGACTGAGGTTTGCAGCTTGGGGGTACATCTGGATCTGGCGCTTACCATGGAAACTCAGGTAGCGTCAGTGGTCCGCACCACCTACTTTGATTTTTGGCAGATCGCCCAGCTGCGTCCCTATCTTGATGTCGGGGCCCTCACCACTCTGGTCCATGCACTTGTAGTCTCAAGATTAGACTACTGTAATACACTCTATGTGGGTCTACCTTTGAGACTGATGCAGAAGTTTCAAATGGTGCAGAATGTGGCGGCCAGACTTCAGACATCAACATATCATCCCCACTCTGGCGGCGTTGCATTGGCTACCTCTTCATTTCCGGATTTATTTCAAAGTATTAATGATGACATATAAAGCTCTGAATGGTTTAGGACCTCAATATCTGGCGAAATGCCTTCTCCCACCTAGATCTACCTATATCACTCACTCTAGCCAGGAGGGGTGGCTGAGGGGTCTAATGCCAAGGGAGGCCCAAAGAGAAGTAACAAGAAAGCGAGCCTTCTCAGCAGTGGCCCCTCGGCTCTGGAACAATCTCCCTCCAGAAATTTGTCTGGCTCGCTCAATGGGCGTTTTTAAGAGCCAACTTAAGACCTGGCTCTTTAGACAGGCCTTCCCTCCTGTTGATACTTAACTTATTTCACCATCATCTAGTGTATTAATATTGTTGTTTTGTTTTATTTTAATATTGTTGTTAGCCGCCCAGAGTAGACTTTGGTCTAAATGGGCGGGATATTAGACAGACAGACAGACAGATATTTAAGGAAGCCCAAAATTCTTGGGACTACAATGTTGAAATCAGTAAATGTGCTTAAGTTGTAGCTCAGTGTTTTTTTTTAAATATTTTTTTTCAAATATTTCCATTAGCTGAAATCATGTTGCTTAGCATAGTAGATTATATTAGAGTAGGCTCACTGAGGTTTCGTGAATCAACTCTTACATAAGTTCCATCGATTCAAATGGGCCGACCCTAACTGCATCTTACCTTAGTACAGTAAGTTAGTGTTAGAGTAAGCCTATTTGAAGGGGACGTGGTGTTGCTGCGGGCTAAACTGCAGAAGCCTTTGTGTGCTGCGGGGTCAGAAGACTAGCAGTTGTAAGATTGAATCCATGCGACGGAGTGAGCTCCCGTCGCTTTATCCCAGCTCCTCGCCAACCTAGCAATTTGAAAGCATGCAAATGCGAGTAGATAAATAGCTACCATCTTGGTGGGAAGGTAAACAGCGTTCCGTGTATAGCTGCGCTGGCCACGTGACAACGGAAACTCTTCAGACAAACGCTGGCTCTATGGCTTGAAAATGAGGATGAGCACCGCCCCCTAGAGTCGAACACGACTGACTAAAATGTCAAGGGGAACCTTTACCTTTACCTAAGCCTATTTGAACCTAAAAGTCAAGGGGAACCTTTACCTAAGCCTATTTTAATCAGTGGAACTTATGTAGAAGTTGATTCACTAAAACCCCACTGATTCAATGGGGCTAATCTAGTGCAATTTAAGGCACTAAAGTAACAAGCTTTTGGCCCATTGTCTACTCTATCCAGGGCCAAGTGGTTGAATGAGCAAGAGAGGCTGACAAGATTCATAATGGGTGGAAAAATCTAATTTCCTGTGCTGATGGAGAAAAAAAGAAATAACATCTGCAATTCAGTGTGATGTTGACTATTAAAGACATTTTAGATCATGCATCTGCAGACTAGACAGTTAAGTGGGTTGTTTTAACTCCCCCTCAGCAGGCTTGTTTAAATCAGTGTGACTAATTGAGACAATTTATTCACATATTTATTATATGCAGTGAAGGAAGCTGTACGTTTGAGTGATTTTATTTCACAACCAGTAAAAGCAGCTGGACAGCTCGGTGAGTTAGGTATCTGGTTGTGGAGCTAGGGATCGGAAGTTCAATCCCTTCCCCCCCCCCCCCGTTCATCCGAGAAGAGCCAGCCCGTGTGGCCCTGGGCAAGCTGCGCAGTCCTAGGGTGCCTCTAGAAGAAGGGAATGGGAAACCACTTCTGAGTACTCTCTACCTAGAAAACCCTGAAAAGGGTCACCACAAGTGAGAATTGACTTGATGGTACACAATTATTATTAAAAGCAAGCAGGTATTGTGACATCTTGACTTCTGACAAATTTTGTCAGGCATAAGCTTTTGTGGACTGTGGCCCACCTCATCAGATGAAGTGACCTGCAGTCCACAAAAACTGGTACCAAATAATACATGTTCAGTCTTCAAGGTACTATAAAAGTCTTCGTTGTTGCTGCTGCTGCAAATAACTAGCAAATAACTAGCAGAAATTCCTATAAAGCATATTTATAGGACACAAAAAGGAAGGAGAATTCTTCCATAAAAGCAATGGTTTTACAGATTTCCCTACCTAACAAAGATGTACCAAAGATATGCCAGAACATGCTGAATTGTTGGGGCCAGACCATTCCATTACCACAAGATCTGCTGACGCGCATAAGTTTATGGTTATATCAACAATGATATCATTCCTTCAGGGTCAAACTGCATGTTAAAAGCTGAAATTTCATGTCTGAGCAATCATGCTTGCAAACAGAACTCATGTTTTCCATCCAATGACCAATCACAGAACAAAGTGGAGAAGACCTGCAGACTGTGGGAGATGTGAGAACCTCTTGCTGTGACAGTTAAACATCTTTTACCACTTAGGGAATACCCTCTTCTAATGAGATGCTATGGGTAATGTATAGTTTGACCCTCAGGTTGCTGGCTTGCTTTGGGGAAAAGGCAGGTTAACAGGTTTAAAAAGATATCTTGGGGACAAACGCTGTGACTGCATGGATTAATAGTACGAGATTTGCTGTGCAAGTAAAATGGAAGCATTGCGATTTCTTTACAAAACTGATCACATGACACAAAGGCCAATGCAAGTCAGTTAACTCTTTTCCCTCGCCATCAGAGGCTTCTACTTTTGTTTCAAGCTGGAGCAATTTGACCGGTGTTTTTATCATGCGATTAGCTGCTTCATTCTCTAAAAGGGAGAATATTAGTAGCTTTTATACAGTACATGCTTTCTGAAAAAAAGACATGTCTTTTCAGGAGAATCAGCCTATTTATCTAGCTGTAAAAGGTGTGGTGTTTGACGTCACTTCTGGAAAAGGTAAGTTAGCCTTGTGGGGGGGTCACCCCTCCTCCCCCACCTTTTCCCTTCCCTTCGGCCAAAATTCAGCAACAGAAATCTCTGTGCTTAATGGTATACAGATAGAGCAGACATACAAACAGTAACTTCAGAAGTGAGGTTATCTCCCTTACCAATGTTGTCCTAGTGACAAATGACAAATAGGGCTCAGGTTATCCTGATTAATCTATATATTTTTTTCACCCTTGTGATGTCAGCCTCTAGTCATGGCTTAATGGAAAGAAAGGGGGCGGTAGAGGCCACCATTTCCCTCCACCAGAGAATCAAGCAGGATAACGTGAAAGCCTGCTGAACAATCGTAACTTTTCTTGATGTCAAGTCAGAGATGGGAAAAGATTGGAGTTTGGACCATAATGCCAGCTTCCAGTTGCTGGTCATGCTTGCTGTGGGATTCTGGAGTTCTGCCCCAGAAAAATGAATGTTTCCCATCCCTGTTTCTGAAAGAAGTTGAATGTTAAGGAGCTCTACTGCAGAGTCATTGTTAGGAAGGGGGAAGGCTGGGAAACCCCAGGATTAGTTGGGCTCACCTTCTCTTGACTTTGCCTTCACCTTCCATGGACCTGCATGCCTCATGAGTGTTACAAACAGCTATGATGTCACCTGTCCTTCAAGGTTTAGGCTGGAGTGTTAACATCCAATGGTGGTCAGAAGGCGGGACATCAGGGGGAGGAGCTGGGATATATAGGGGTGTGTATGTGTGTGAGAGTCAGATCAGGATCTGAGAGTGTTGAGATGAGATAGTGATCAGATTGTGTGGAGATATGAGTCTGTGTGAGCTAGAGCCTTTCTTTATGTGATTACCTGATTTATTTGTTATACCAATCTTAATGTACCATTCATCGCTCAATAGTGTCTTTTGATGCGTAGTACAGTAGAACCCCCTTATCCACGGGATCAGCACCCACTGATTTACTTATCCATGGTCTGAAAATATTAAAAGAAAAAATCCAGAAAAAGCTATTTTCATAAGTATTATCACAACCAACCACTAGAGAGACAAGTATGAATACTTGTTAGTGAAGAATATATAGCAGTGATGGCAAACCTAGGGCACACGTGCCACGGCTGCCACACGGAGCCCTTTCTGCTGGCACGCAAGCCATAAGTGGCCAGATCACTACTAAACCCACACACACACACACAGCCAAACCTCAGGAGGCGGCTGAAGCCACGGTGCTGGTGCTTCGACAGGCAGCGGGCCAGGATCCGGAGCAGCTGGCACTGGCATCAGATCCAGAGTGGGGTCTCGTGGCACCTCCACCGCCACTTCAGGTTCTGCCATGGCTACGGCATGCTGCCCACTGTTTTTTTGTTTGTTTTGTTTTGTTTTTCCAGTTTGGGCACTTGGGCAGATCAGTAATATAAATTCCTTGTTAGTTTCATGACCAAGATGCACATTTGCCTAAGTATGTTTGGTTTATATATTGTTCTTTTCAGGCTAAGGATTTTTTTAAAAAAATTATCCCCGTGTTGGAAGATTTTCAGGTAATGGCACTGCACCATGTGAAGATTTAAAAAGCACTTCCAGATATTGTCAGAATTTCAGAACGTGGTACTTAAGCTACCTGACTTCTGAGTAATGGCATACTTTGGATGTTTCGAACCTCGTCGACTGCCCTTTTTTATAAATTACTACCCACAAGTGAAATATGTCAGTTTCTGAAATATTACAGACGTCATTCAGAAATTATGGGTGCTAACAAGAACGTTAGCTTCACTTCAGTACCATGTTGTTTTCTTCTCCCTGGGCAGAGTTTTATGGGAAAGGAGCACCCTACAACGCACTTGTTGGCAAGGATTCAACACGAGGAATCGCAAAGATGACACTCGATCCAGCGGATCTCACCCATGAGACAGTAAGGGAAAAATAGAAAACTGTTCTGCGTGCTGCTAGTTAAGGCCACCACCTAAATAAATCATTTTACTTGCAGCTGGACCTATTGCTTTTGGTGGAATTTATTGGCTGAGTTGTATACTGTACAGCATCCCAGACAGATGGTAGACAGCGCAGAATCTTTTTTTAAAAGATTTGGAGTTGCCAAACGGAATGGAGGATAATCGGTACTTGAGTCAAAGTAATTTTTCAAGGCTGGCCCTATTATTAGGCAAGGTGGGGAATTTGCTTGACGTGTTTGACGTTGGGAAGTGGGCACCAGCAAGTTGGAGGAAAGGAGAGTATGCTTACCAGCCCTGCAGTTGCAGTGTGGCAAAGAATGCTCTGCTATCACCAGTATTGAAGAAAGATTCAGATGCCAGTGAGGTTACGTTTTATAGTTGGAATGTGGCATTTTAGCTCAGGCAGTCAAATATCTTGGACTGCCTTGAGCAATTAATCCACTTAAGCAGGGGTGTCAAACTCAAATTCATCGGGGG